CTCTTGACACAGGCTCGCAAAGCAGTTCTTGTTTGTATGGTATCAATTTCTCACGGTGTTGCACTGGCAGCATATCCAGCATTTCTCCACCGGGATGTTGAGAGCAATAGCCAAGAGTGACGACTTGCTCATCTACCAGCGGAAGCAGATGGATCGCCATAAGCTTCTTCAGAGGCGTATCGAGTGCTTCTGTGTTCGCACGGTTATGAGAATAACGATGGTTGAGTGCCAACCTGGGTTTGCGGCGAGACTGGACATCTGCAAACATGGACTCGACTTGGACGGTGGTCAGACGTCCTGAAGGACTTCGTTTAAGTGCTTTCACGACGTTGTTCGTCAATAAAGCCGCACTCTCAATAGCAGCGTTACCACCTTGGCCGCCCACTGGATGAAACTGTGATACGTCAGACCGCTGCATATCGTGTATTCTCTGGGACCTACCTTGTGCGCTGAGTCGCCTAGAGTGACGATCCTGTCGAAGTGCCACTGCTTGTAGACATATTCCACCAGTGGAGTCATGACGGCGCTCACTTTGTTGTCAACAAGGGTTGAGAACTTTAGATTAGGCAGTATGTTGTCGTCAGCAGATTCGGACAGTGCTTTTTGGAGGTCTTTCTCGCTATAGCGTGGAATGGCTGAGCCATGAACTTTCTCCTGGAGCTTCTGGAACCGAAACCAGTAGACTCGCCCTTTGGGACCTCCAGTAACAAGATACGAAGAGCTGTTCCTGAATACGCAGTGTAGATCGCCTGGGTTGATACCAGGACACGGATTAGAGATGCCGAATATGCAACTGTTTTCACAAGGAGGTGCTGTGCCCATCAGTCAGTGTGTTGGTAGATTGGTCGTATTCAGACTCACCTTCATGCTCGTTTGGATCAAAGAGCCCTGGTGAAAGCCTTCCAGCTAGCCTCCACATCTGCGAGCGTATTGTACTGTGGACGCCGTCTGCTCCAACAAGGATGTCACCAGCAATAATCGTTCCGTCTGATGTGACGGCTTGAACGCCACCACTAACCAACTCTGTCCTGACAACTCGCTTGTTTGTTAAGACTTTTGACTTGTCTTTTATGTTGTTGTAGAGCACTTTAAGAAGCATCTGCCTATCGAGGAATACCATTGGGTATCCATGCCTTCAACAGGAGGATCAGTCAAACGAGGTTCAGGATATGCGAACATACATACTGACCTCTCGATAATGCGCTCATCCATCTCTCGATGCCGGGCTAGAATTTGGCCATTTGTGTTTCGGAAGTTGAAAGTTTGTACCGGAGGCGCAATTTCCATGATTTTGTCGTATAAGCCGAGCTGATGTAGGATGCGATTTCCATGAGGCAGCAGCCCGATGCTAGCCCCGACCTGAGGAGCTACAGTCGGATAAGCCTCCAGGACCAGAAAGTCGATGCCGTTGGCCTGGAGCATGTTTGCCAGGCTCAGCCCAGTGACGCTCGCGCCTACAATTACGACTCTGAAGGGGTGTTTGTCAGCCATGATAAGTGAGAATCATGAGTTGTTTGCAAAAGTTGTTGGTTGAGCTGACGATGGCCCAACAATTCAGGACCTGCCTAATCGCGTACTTTACGCGTATCCACCAGGCCTCACGCTCTATCACCTCGTTCTAGGGTAGATTCCTGTATCATTTAGATAAGACCGCAATGCGAATCATCGGGAAGTCAAATAGGTCACCGTTTTATTCAAATCGTTTTCATTCTCTTATAGTTCTCGTCTCCTTGTCGTATTTTTTCTCAAGCATGTAGTGTAATTTGTTACAGCATGTGAAGAGTGCCAAACGGTTACTGACACTTCAACACAACTGTGTTTAATAACAGTCCCTAAACATTAACAGTGATAGAGAGATCTAGAAACTGCCAGTTCAAAAGTATGCCCTACACTCTTGCCACCTTCAAAGAATTGTATTGCCAACAGTTTTCTGAAAGCATTGTCAGTTTGTCTTTGTGTTTGGCGTACACGCATCTCCGCAAACATTTTCAAGATGTATCCGATCACGGCGGTCAATTCATTGGTTCCTTTAGTGGATATCGTTTGTGCTCAATCATGCACACTGAGAAGTTTCCTTCGGCATTTGAATCCTTTCTCTACTGATAAAGTCATCTCCTCGGATTTGTTAGTCTATACATAGCTAATCTCCATGTTTATTCCCCCATGGAGGCCCCGGATCAAGGTTCAACCACAGAAATCGGGGAATTTGGGGTCACGCATGACTCCCCCAACGCAACTGACGTCAAGGGTCCTCTCAGATGCCATTGATAACGCTGTAATTGATCAGCTAGACGTGCCGGTACCCGATTTTGGTGTCACCCTCGAGCTTTGACGTGGCCCATCCAAGCTTTTATCCCTCTGGCGAAGAAAAGACTCATATCTGGTGGGGTAAAGGTTTTGCCGGAGGCTCAGGACACGCCTGGAGATTTTTTCTCCGCGCTGATCTCCGGATGGTCCGGGGTCTGGGTATGAGACGGGGATAGTGGGGGTTACGCGAGGTTGAAGTCCCTTTCTAGGCCTTTTCCAGAGGGCTTTGCTGGCTCTACAGCGGTAAATGGCTTGTCCTTGGCGATGGTAGTGGATGTTGAGGCTCAATATGAGGCTCAAATGGCTTGGAAGCCAAGAGCCGTTAAGCCGCGCTTCCGCAGGAGGCGTCAACACGAGTCAGGAACAGATTCTTTGACGACACAATTTGCCGATTTTACCAATCATTTAAGCTCATTAAGCTCAATCGAAATTACGTGAAGGAATTGATCAGATAGCGGAAGCACACCGACGACAATCTCACCTCGTTGCCCCATACGGGGAAAACGCTCGTCCGGCCCGACTCATTTGCTCCATCGACTCCAGCGCCCCAGAGCAATGTGGGCATCTTTGTAACGTAGCGCATGGAGAAGAAAACTTTGTCAGGATGGGGAAGAACAAAGACTTACCTCTTCAAAGTCGGGGCCCCGGATCCCACTGATTCCTATAAAGCTCTTGATCTTGTCGCTTTGTTATCTCGACAGCTCCTCTGCTCGAATAACTCAGGGACATACTGACCTTGTAACCATGGGTATCCTTACTCTCGCTGAAGATAGGCCGACGCCGCCTTCGGTGTACAACTGGCGCATTTATGTGCTTGCTGTCGTTGCTTCGTGCGGTTCCAACATGATCGGTTATACAAGTGCTTTTATTGGAACGACTATTACACTTGATTCGTTCAAGAAAGAGTTTGGGATCGATACCAAGACCGTCGAGGAGCGAAACTTGATCAGTGAGAACATTGTCTCGCTTTTCATCGCTGGCGCTTTCTTCGGCGCGCTTCTCACTTATGTTATGAGCCATTTGGTTGGCCGTAAATGGTGTCTTGCCATCGCTTCCGCCACTTTCACGCTTGGAGCTGGTCTTCAATGCGGTGCCGACTCGAGCACTGGCTTGGGAATTCTATACGCAGGTCGTGTCTTGTCAGGCCTTGGAACTGGTTTCGCAAGCAACATCATCCCTATCTACATTTCCGAGCTGGCGCCTCCAGCTATCCGAGGTCGCTTGGTCGGTCTGTACGAGCTTGGCTGGCAGATTGGTGGTCTCGTAGGGTTCTGGATCAACGTAAGTCAAGACTTCATGCCTTTACATATTGCACGCTTGCTAACCTTTGTATAGTATGGTGTCCAGAAGCACATGCCCGAAAGCCACCAACAATGGATCGTTCCCTTCGCCGTCCAGATCATCCCGTCGGGTCTTCTCTTCCTCGGATCCCTCTGGATTCGCGAGTCCCCTCGATGGCTATTCCTCAAGGAACGCAGAACACAGGCTATGGAGAACCTTTGCTGGATTCGACAGCTCCCACCCACCGATCTCTACATCACAGAAGAGGTATCAGCCATTGATCACGCTCACGAGATCCAGAAGTCGACTGTTGGTATTGGACTTTGGAAGCCTTTCCAGGCTCTCAAGGATCGCCCAAACATGATGTGGCGTCTCTTCTTGGGATGCATGCTATTCTTCTGGCAGAACGGCTCCGGCATCAACGCCATCAACTACTACTCCCCAACTGTGTTCTCCGTAAGTTTACAACCATGGTCATGTTTGGAACTAGCGCCAATCTAACCTTTTACAGAGCATTGGGGTCCAGCACGATACTGTCAACGTAATGACAGGCATCTTTGGTGTCGTCAAGGCTGTGATGACCTTTGTTTGGCTTCTTTTCCTTGTTGATCAACTTGGCCGAAGGAAGCTGCTACTTATTGGTGGTATCACTGGCTCTATCTGTATGTGGGTATTGGGTGCATACATCTACGTCGTCGACCCTACCAAGAACCCCCAGGATCATTTGACTGGCAGTGGTATCGCCGCTATCGTATTCTTCTACCTCTGGACTGCCGTCTACACTCCTACATGGAATGGCACGCCCTGGGTCATCAACTCTGTAAGTCTTGCATTCCCATATATTGTTTCATCGTCTAACTAGTTTCAAGGAATTCTTCGACCCCAGTTTCCGATCCCTTGCACAAGCCTGCACAACCGCCAGCAACTGGCTGTTCAACTTCCTTGTCTCGCGATTCACAGAGCAAATGTTTGCTGCAATGGGATACGGTGTTTACATGTTCTTTGCGACTCTGTCATTCTTTGCCTTCATCTTCGCCTTCTTCCTCATTCCCGAGACTAGCGGAATTCCGTTGGAGCAAGTTTACAGACTCTTCAAGATCAAGCCAATCTGGAAGGCAGACAAGATCCTCAAAGAGCAACTGAAACAGGAGGAACAGCAGTTCAGATCTGATGTCAAGGGTGAAGTGAGCCAATCAGAGAACCTTGAGGACGTTAGTGATAAGCGCGGTGAGGTATAAAAGCACGAATGAGGTTTAGACATGATGAATAGAATAGAAAAGAAAGGGTTATAGACGTCAAAGAGCAATGGAATCATAATAGACTATAGATACTGAAGTCAAGTTTTATGCTGTAACTATAAACTGTCCCCCACAAGTCTCATTTGAAACAGAACAGGCGGCATAGTATAGAAATCAACGGCTGAAGTTTTGTTCGAAAATGAGTTGGGAAATGTTCGGGTTGCAGAAGTCAGTGACAACAACACCGTATCTGCCCTTCTTCTGCGACCTATACTCTCCATTCATGAATGTGAGAAGAGGTACACATAGTTGATCTGCATAGTAGGAGGGGGCCCAGAACCTTGGCTTCTTTCCATCCATATCCAGCCAGACATCGCATGTCGATGCAAAATACATAACGTTGTCGTTGAAATCAGCTTCCTTGGCTTCGATGAGCATATCTCGCGCACATTTCCAGCGCTCCTCGATGGTCATCGAATCTCGGCCTGGGTCTGTCATTTGCTTCCATTTGCCTTCGGGCCCCTTGCTGCGGGCGTTATTGAAGAAACTTGGGTCGTCGAAGTTGATGCCCAGCAACTCATTATCAGGATTCCAAAATCGACGCAGTAAAATAGCTCGACCTCGTACTTCGTGAAGCTTAGGCCAATATGCTCCTTTGAACCAGTTGTGCTTATCCCAGATCTCGGACACGCCGAAGCGAAGGTTCTTGTCTGGCGTGACTATAACAGGTTTCGATCCGTCCAGCTTTTCCTCGTCCCATTTGATAGAAATGAGTAATGTTTCGCTTGGATACTTCTTGAGGAAATCCGCCATTCCGTCAAGAACTTGTGTCAGACTCTCCTTGAGCTTAGCACTTCCGTGACACAGACCAAACGCCCAGCGACCTCCCTCGTTATCAAACTTTTCCCACGAGCGCACCCGCAGATCAAAGCAACGGACGCCAAAATGTAGTTGATCCCACATAGAAGAACTTTGGCATGTTGCTATTGCAGTATAAACCTCAGCATACATTGAAACGATCCCAGGATTGTATAACGCATAGGCGGCAAAGTTGACCTTGCCGTTTGACGCTACCACAACATTGGATTTAATAGCATGACTATTATGAGTTCCTGGTATCGAGATTTGAGTGAGACTCAAGTCGCCAGGAAGGTTTTTCATCCAGTCCCTGGGGTCATGTAGATTCAGACTCATGCTGAGAGTTTGGAATGATCGAGAGGAAGCGATAAAAAATAAAAGAGAGGAATTACTTTCACACTGCAGCATACTTCAGGTATTCCCTCGAGAGTATTTATACCTTTTGAGTCCAGATTAGGTGCCAAGCATCGATATGGGCAATGTGACATGTCTATGCCAGCTGGTAAATGCGCTATTGATGCAAATACCCCTGCAATATTGGTACACTAGCTGTATTCATCACCTTTCAGGTAAAAGAAGGGAAGTCAGCTGAGACAGTTCAAAAAGCTAACTAAAAGTAGGAGAACCATTGTAAATGTCATACGACATACCTGGACCTGGTTAGTGATCTATTTCAGCTGCATCACCAAACACAGTTATGATGCCCCTCTTTGACCGAAACCACCACCATCACTAATCGGGGTCGCCGAGAACCTCAATCCTCCTGGATTCGAAACGATAAATAATATTTAGACCCATACCTATAAAGTGGAGGAGTTTCAAGTCTATTCATGCTGTATTCTCCAAGGTATGACCGTACAACCATCGGGTTGCATAAAAAAGATCAAGTCTTTTCTCGGACAGAGAGCGACTCAAACCTATGGATTAAATCGCTTATAGGGCTGTGTTCCTGCAAAAGACCTCCTACAGACCCATCGAACCAAATCTTTGGAATCTGGAGTTGTAGGTTGTCGGGGGATAAATTGCTATCGTTACTCATATGACGCAGCTCATTAAGCATCTTCAACGCTTCTGGATCAGCAGCCCCTGCATCTCCGGTTGACTCCGTGTGGGACGAGTCAAAGTTGGCCCTGCTGCCTTGTTGCCCTCCTGAGATACCTGCCAAGATCCGAGACTGTCTTGAAGGAATGCGACTATCGGGTATCGACTTCAACTGATCCTTCAATGGCAAGTGTCTTGATACGCAAGCGTACCTGGGGTCCTGGTCACACCGGAGTTGGATATCTCTGAGAGCTCTCAAGACCATACCTGCAGTATACCGAGCAGATTGATTTGGTACTAGCATCCCTTCGCTGATGAGATCTAAGAAGTCAGACATCGAAGGAGCACACAAGTGATGATCTTTGAGACCTTGAATCATCTATGGCGATGAGTTGTTAGCTCATGATGAAGGACTGATTCTGATACGATTCTTACTTTCGTGACTGTCTTTTTGACCTCTCCCCGGATGCCACTGCTTCCAATTGCTGTGTATGTGTCTGTGAAATCCTTTTCCCTGATCAAATTGTAGAAAGAATCGCTATGATAATTCCCAGATCTATTCAGATACTTATCCTCCTCCAGTCTATTGTCTGAGAACGTCCTGACACAGCTATTGTCCCTCATCAGAAACACAGATGCATGCTCTAGAAAGACGCAGCCTAGAGACCAAATGTCATATCTGGTTCCAACCCCGTCACTTCCTTCACTTTCTGGGGCTTTATAGGTTTGTGTATAACCCTTGACATCAGCCCATGACACATGGGACTTGGACTGTGATGTGTTGAACTGGGTAAGTCCAAGATCGGCGATAACCAGGTGATCTTTCTTGTCTCCTTGATAATCACTAAACCAAAGTAGATTTTGTGGCTTTATGTCGCTGTGCCGTCCGTACTTTCCCGCCAGTGCGATGTGAACTATTTCCTCCACGGTGCTGGCGGTGTAAGACGATCGTTGCTCGTGAAGACTACCCAAGCTCCGCACAATGCCCGCGCATTGACGAAAGAACCAAACTGCGTCTTCTTCGACATCAGGGCGGTATAAGCTTGGCATCGTTTCCCATAGATCAGTAAGATCACCGTCAGCCCATTCGAAAACGAGATAGTAATAGTCGGCTCGACGAAAGGAGAAAAGAAGCTGATGAAGGTGTTCTCTGTCCTCGAGCTTCTTAATAACCAGCCGTCTCGCGAGAGAGTCTGCTTCACTCGGGTGGTCTATTGAGCTGTGCTGAATAGCCTTGATAGCGAAACACTCTGGCTTTGGGTACCTACCCCGGTACCATAAGTGCGACGGCTCTATAAAGACCTTTGTGACTTTGCCATATCCTCCGGACCGAATTACAGGGGGGTCAGAATCCACAAATGGTAGGACAAAATCTGCAGGGAGTCGAAAATGATCCATGAACTGCTCTTCTTCATCGATAGTGCAGAATAGGCTGCATAGTTGCATCTGCTTCATGGTAAAGTATTCGGCTTCGGGATAGGACCAAGTCCAATTCTTTGAAGACTCTATCTCATTCTTCTCACGGTCGTATAAGATGGCTTGTTGTCCTCGTCGGTGAACAGTAAGTGGGAGCTGACTATCTTCTACCTTTGCATTGACAAAGTCTAGTAGAAAGTGGAGTCCATTGACCAATATCAATGTAGCCATGATCTTTAGTCTTCTTGGTTCGCCATTAGCTCCATATACCTCGTTGACAAGGCTCATCAAAGTCTCATCTGTGAACCTTTGACTGAGTATCCTTTCAACATTCCGGGGGCTGAGAATCCGAAGCAGCCGTCCCAGAGGTATAAACGCTTGCTTACCAGTATGATCAATGGCGGGTTTCCTGCACGCATTCATCAAGGCTTCCCACACAGAGGATACATCGATGTCAACCAATGGTGGCTCCGAATCCAGGCCTTCTCCAGACATACTGGCAGAAATTCGATAAGCAGCCAATGACTCAAGCCATTTACGATGACCCATATCAGAGATACTCCGAAATGTCGATGTGCTTTCCCTTTGAGATAATACCGAAATATTGATAGACCCTTGTCCTATCCCAGGTTTCAAGTTGATGTCGGATCGAGATGGCGCTTCTCCCCAATTCGGTATGCCTGGAGGGTCATGATGAGACACCGTTGGTGAGTTCGATAACCGTTGACTCCGAGATACATCGAGGCTTCCCGGTGATTTCGTATATGAAGTGGTCTTCTTTATTCTCCTCTCTCTTGAGCGCGGGTTGGACGGCTTAACCATGGTCCATATTAGCAAGGATAGGCTTCTAATGAAATCGAGGTATGATTCGGGTCAGGGGACGCTAGGAAATGCATTTTATTCCTTATAATGTCTAGAGGCTGAGATATTTCTATTCAATTGAGCCGAGCCTGATTTCCCTCGAGTACGCATTTGAGAAATACAAAGCCCTCCCTGAACTGCGGCTGACATCCCTGGTCGAGCTATTTGGGCTTTGCATATGGCCAGCCAATGAATTCTATGGAAATCCGAACAAGGCCTCTGGCTACCCATGACAGACATTGGTCAGGTTGATGCCACAGCGGTTAGAATGCTTGGCCTGGAGCGGCTCGTGCCGCCACCTCATCCTTATCAGCATCGCGAATCACCTTTGCGCAGCGCGGAAGCATGCTTCTGGCACCCTCCTCTAGCCTGATCTGAGAAGACCTGCAGCGAGAGTTGAAAATTCCAGGCAGCAGCTATTGAGTGGCCGACTTGACTGGGCTTGATTGCTCAGTCCAGAGCCTGCTTTTCCACAGTGTGTCAGACGGAGGCCACCCACATAGGCCTCTAGGCACAGCCCCCGCTTCTGAGGTTGCCTCATCTGCCTTTTTTCCAATTTGCTATTTCTGAGTCATATCGCGTCCGTTATCGAGTCTTTTTAAATCAGCCACTTCCGTGTTTCGTCTCCGACTTCCATTTCAAGCATATTTTCATCTATCCGTCGACGTTCGACTTCATCCATATCTCGTCCTATTCAGAATGCCTGGGCAAATGCAACAACAAACGAGTGGGCGGTCAATGACCAGCTCATCATACGATACTATCCGCATAAATGCGAAGGACGTTAGTCCACAAAAGCTGCTTGCTATCCTCGAACGAAGTCTCCCCCGCAACAAGTTCTCTGTCGAGATGCAGCAAGATATGTACACCATACGATGGGACCGGGACTCCTTCAGGCGTGGGATGTAACAACATGTTATTCTGCGCCAAGCATCTTCCCACGACCTTCAGAAAAGCTCTTCACACGAAGGCGCCTGTCAAACTCTCATATCACCATCCATGACAGTCTGGGGACATAATATGGACCTCTTAGACTACTCATTAGCATCACCATCATCACACATATATAGAACCATAGCAACCGGCAACGAAATGAAGGATATTCAATGACAAATCCGAATCAAGATTTAGAGAAGCGATAGCTAGTAAATCACAACATCCTCTCCATCCCTTGCGATGTTATTTTCAAGAAGCCAGGCCACTCCAACTCGGACATAAACCTTTGCCTGCTCTGGTTCGTCTTCGGATAAGGTAACGAGGAGAACGTAGTGTACCTCGGCCCGCGATTCTAGTTTCTTGTCTTTACCAAGGACAATTCCCCGCAAGCTGGATGGTTCGAACCCAGGTCCTTCATCAAGTTTGACTCTATCTTGCATATCCAGCTTATCCAATATGATATCTCTAGCAACTGCTTGCAATACAGTCCTGTTGCTGTCTGTACCGGTTTCCTCTCCAGACTGAAGCGAGCAGTCTGTACTCCATTCGACCTTGTCAAAAGGCATGTTCGCATATGTGATCGGGCCCTCGTATGCCATCCATGACCAGGAAGGAACCCGATGGTCATCTTGGAACGTGATACTTTTCAGGAAGATATCCTCAGGTCGGGACCAGAGAAGACTTCTCGCCAGGTACTGCTCAAAGACACCAAACTTGCCGCGAGTCTGGAGGACAGTTGAAAGGTGTTTCTCCAGACCCAGAATGGCCACTGGCCGGTCTGAGTTGTAGCTAAAACTGAGCCTGGAATACCTCTCGTAAAGATTCTGAAATAGAGTGATTCGTCCACCTTTGTAGTACTTGAGTATGGCCTTGGGGAAATCCGAGTCTGCGAACAGAGCCGATTGAGGACTGATAAAAATAACCGTTAGACCGGACAGAAATCACAATAAGCAACGATGAATACATACTTTGACAATTTCAAGAGCCTCTCACACTGCAACCCATTTCCGCATTCCCAGTATGCCTGCGTCTTGGTGAAGTGAAGTGTTCTTCTGGACAAAGCTCGCTCTTGCATCACCCAGCCGCGGGTATTCAAGGGCGCTGACTCTAAATCCCTATCACAATCTTCCATAAACTCTGAAATGTGAAGGAGACCACCACCAGGAGTTGCTAAGGTCGCGGAAAGTGTTGAGTTGAGCTTTGGAGTAAGAAAGCCCTCATCTGACGTCGAAGCTGACGTCGCCGCGATAGTGCAGTAGGCGTTGCTAAAAACCTGACCCATTCGGGCAGCTTCTCGTCGCCAGTCTTCCGGATCATCCTGGATGATACACAGTGAGTCTATCCACAAGTATGGGATCTTGAGTGCTCTCGTGACTTTGATGGCTTCCTGGAAATTAAGAGGTAGTTGCTCGTGCGGTATCTCAATGCGGAATTTGTTGATGTTGCTAGTCAGAGTAGACAGGCTCGTGCTGCCTCCCCAGCAGTGGCTTAGAGCAAAATAACGTAGAAAGCCAGAATCTTTAATGTCTTCCAAGTGCTCGCTCGACTCGCCCACGCGAATCAGTCTAGTGGGCATCTGGACAGCACAGCCTCCAGGGGATGCGTCTCGTGCATGGCCGTGATCATTATCACATATGTGGAGCCACTCTTGAAATAGATGATACCGCTCAAGGCTTTCTGCAGGGGACAAAGTTGGATATCCAACTTGGGCTGATCCAAGATCATGAGCATGGAAGGCTGGTGAAACGGTCAATACGACAGTCGCTAGCTACACTGAATACATACCAGGATCCGAGAACAGTGACAGGATTGGCAGACCGTCACGCCCATTTAAGTTGAGGGTAGGGCCGTTCCGAACGCATTGTAATTCCTGACCCTCTTGAAGGCCAATCTTTTGGGAGACGGCGTAGAGAAGATTACACAAATTACATGCCGACGTACGAGTTCCGAAGTCCCTCACTGTACCAGATATCGTAGCATTGGGCTCCCAGATTTGAAGTCTCGAACAAGAGTCGCACAGTTGACCCCTTTCTGCTGGGCTGGGCCTGGTAGTCTCAGAGAAGAATTTCAGTGCAAACTCATTGTCTGGACTGACTTTCCATTGATTAAGGAGCTTGGCGCTTTGCTGTTCCAGTTAGTATATACCGCATACTAAAGGATGACTACTGTAAGACATACCCGCTAATAGGGTCTTGTAAGCAGACTGAATCAAGATAGAATTTTCATGATGCACTAACAGGCTCGAGAGAAGTTAGTACGAGATATTAGACGTCCAGAACGCAGGGTTGACTGATACATACATTCTGTATGTTACGATGTCGGTTCCTTCGTCAGCCTTTCCACTCTCCACCAACGGACGGACTCAACAGTCAACTCACATACTATCTCACCGTCAGCTATCAAGTTCAACACACTACAGCTCACACGTTCCACATACAATCATAGCAGCGGTATTACCCGAAGGGACAGCTGTAGTATTTAGACCATTGGTTTGGGTACCAGATTGCTCAGGAGCGCTTCGACTCGTGGCGTTGCTTCCGTCTAACGGACCCTGACCGTTTTGACAATGGTCGGACTCGGCGGCCTGCTCGGCAGTCAGGCCTAGCGGCAAATCAACCACGTTCCTCGGCTGGAGATACTCACCGTAATTATCTCTTATACTTTCCAATTCCTTGTGAATATCCGAAGCACTTCTACGATCATCGCTGTTGACAATGAGCATTTGCTCCAGAACCAAGGTCAGAATTCGCTGGACAGCTTTGTCACACGGTGTGTCTTCAGAAGAATCCTCCAGCTTTTGTATACGATCTTTGACCTTAGTGTCAAGGTCTTCTTGTGCAGAGTTCCAGAAACGTCGGTGACTTTTCATAGACCGGTCGAATTCCTTATACTCTTGCCGGCCCAGTGTGGCCCAGATGAGAAACTCGATAAAGACGCAGCCGAGAGACCAAATGTCGAACTTGCGTGATAGCTTGATATCGTCAGAGTCTTCAACTGGCTCCCCGTCTTCATCAAACAAGAGGTCGAATTCAGGGGGGCTGTATCGCCTCGTGGTAGCCTTGGCAGTCGTCCCGTTTAGTCTCCTGCTTGTTGCCAGAATGTGAAGCTTCGAGAGTCCAACGTCTGTTATCTTGAGGCGGTAGCTACCAGACTTCTCCGGGAACAGGAGGATATTGGCAGGCTTGAGATCACCATGCCGATATCCCTTATCCGCCAACAGACTCAAAGCGCTGGAGAGTCCGACCATTTGATCAAGCATCCATATGATAGCAGCCATGCCCTCGGTCGAGTTGGTTTTAAAGAATTTATATAGATCTCCTCCCTTCGCCCATGGAAAGAAGAATAAGGCCTGCTTTCCTCTGGTGCAGGCAAGAATTGCTTTGACAAGGTGGTCATGATCCAGCAATCGAAGAGACGTTACGTTAGTCATCTCTTTTTTGACATACTTGATTTGATCTTCGCTCTCCAGCTCCATTTTCTTCATGGCCATTGAGTGCTATATCACGTTAAATCAAAGACGCTGAAAAGTCGGGCCTGGCGGACTCACTTCTACCTGCTCTGGAACATGCGCAGGGTGCATCTCAATCTCCGAAACGGAGCTAAACCCTGAGATAACAGGTTTCCCTTGCTTGACCAACGGTAAAGGAACCTTTTGTTGCAGCACATATTCGAACTCCCTCTCAAAGATAGGAGCTAAGAATGGCCATTGCTTCTGAATGAAATAGTCGACATCATTGTAGTCAATTCCAGCTCCAAAGGGAGCAGTAGTCCAGTTTGAATCTTTTGCACTTCTGAACATGTACTCTCCACGCGTCCATAGAAGCTCTATAGGAAGATGGTGATCAGAAAAGCCATTGGATAAGAACTGGTCAATGCGATCTAGCTTGCCGGTTCGAGCCAAGATGAGAAAGATGATCTTTGCAGGGCATTTTTCATCATAAATCCGTTTCTTCAAGGCACCCTGATTTGGACATTTTTGTTCTTTTAGGATGTCGCTGACGCACTCTTCCGATGTCAACAATTCGATCGTAGTAGTTGAGATGAAGACTTCATCGCTGGAATTCTCCTTCTCCGCATTCTCGCACTCATCCATGAGACGAACTAGGGTCCAGGGTGTCGCAGCCATGTCTGATTCTGATGATTTGACAAGGTATGTTGGGACTGTAGATAAGGCGGGAGTAAAATGTAGATGTCGAGCATCATTGTGAAAATGGGATTCAGCCGAATTATACCATGGGTTTCTGCATGGTCAGCAACACGCGTCAATTAGACACTTTCAACCGCATAATGCCTTACCATGCAGCATCGCCGAATTGTGAAATAAGCCTATCGAGGGCTTTTTCAGGCTCCCTTTGCATTTTCAACTGCAATGGTGCTGAAGTCAACGTCATAATTTTGACTTCGTTTTAGCCAGTTTAGTCGCCCCCACGACTGTCATTGGGCTATGCTAACATCAGCTGATATGCATATTGGTCAAGGCATCTAGCCCCTCTTCTCGTTGTCTCATCTGAGATTGTAGTTGAATATCATATTTGGAGTACTGTACCGTGATACGGTGGAAAATGGCAGTGACAGTGACATTGAGTAAGTTTGTTGTGAATTCAACATTATGGTCTATACTAGATCTAATTATCTTTTGTCGATTACGCCGCCGCATAAGCTTGGCCAAATGGCTCCAACTTGACTCCGTCAATGTCAACATATCCGTACTTAGACTGATCATCATTATGCGCCATACCCTCACCCCATTTCTGCATAGATTCTTCAAAGATTCGCTTATGATCCTCTCGGCTCAAGTCAAGAGGGTGCTTGTCCTTACCTACCAGTCGAATTCTAAACGTAAATTAGTCTACCGAGCATTAATTATCATAGTTGTTGTGTAGACTTACTGAGTGCCAGCAGCAACGTTGGTGATACCAAAGTTTTGCTCATCGAGCAAAGTGTCGATTGCGCTGGTAGCCTCACCCTTGAGGATCTTGGCAGGCAAGTCGAACTCATTAGTCACGGGCCGTGCCAATCCGATACCATGAACCGTCTTCAGAGCCTCATTCATGGCCTTGACTGTCCTTAAGCCACCAGTGACATAAGCCTTAGTCTTGGTAAGCTCAGGGATAATCTTCTCTGCAAATTCGAGGAAGAAAGCCTCTCGCTTCTTCGAGCTCTCTCGTCGGTGAGAGAAGGCAAGGCTCTGGTAAGTTCCGCCAGAAAGCTCGACGAAATCAAAGCCATGCTGTTCGAGTTGCTTGCAAAGAACCTTGCAGTCATCGGTGGAGAAACCGCCTTCCTGGAACTCAACGCTGTTGACCTTGATGGATAGGCTGAATGACTTGTCGGGGACACGCGCACGGATGGCATCGGCAATCTCGAAGATGATGCGAGATCGGTTCTCGATGGAACCGCCATACTTGTCTGTTCGCTTGTTTGTGGTAGGTGAAAGGAACTGGGCCAAAAGATAACCACTTCTCTCAGTTAGTGTTATATGCAGAGCACTGAGACTTGGCTAACTTACTGTGCACCATGCAATTGAATACCGTCATAACCAGCTTTGTGAAGGAACTCGGCAGCATGAGCAAAGCCCTCAATAACATTCTTGAAGTCTTGCTCATCCATGGGCTTGGGCTTGGCAAAGTGCATGCCCATCACCTCGCCCTCCAGTTGCACATCACTCGGAGAAATGGGGTTCTTTTGGATGTTATCAGGGACCTGGCGTCCAGGATGGCTGACCTGCGCAATAATCAAGCTTCCATGCTTCTTGCTAACAGTTGCCAGTTCCTTGAACGCTTCAAAACGCTCACCGGACGCGGGTGCATCTCGGGGCACGATGGGGTTTCCAGCAGCCTCGAGCTGGTCATACTCGATCATAACATTTCCAGTCAGGATAACGCCAAAATCTCCTTCGCCCCATCGTCGGTAGACATTGATAAGTTCTGGTGTAGGAACGCCTCGCTTCTCAAGGACTTTGGGATCCCATGTTGAGAGTCGCTCTGTCATTGCAGCCTTCATAAATCGGTTCTTTGCGGTTTTACCGCTGAACTCGAATTTGAGAGGCTGGCCCAAAGGGCTTGCGTCTGCAGGTTCAGTAGAGAATCGTCTTGGTGCCATTTTCGAAAAATTATTATTGTTTTACGACTTAATTTACTTTTCTACTAAAGCCAAAGTGCCGCGACATGTACAAGTTTATAAACGATTGCGAATATTAGAAATCGGATATTTGTGATGTCATGACTTGTATGGTAATTATTCCATCATTGCCACGAGCTTCGTTCCAAAGACCCGGTCAATGCCGTCATGTTCCACTTTCAGACCACAATTTTGGTTTAGTTCACGGCGACGATGCTTGGATTAGAAACTCTCTACCGAGGTATGGCCTCGATATAACGTTAACACCATCTAATAGAAGGACGCTAGAAGGTTCCTGGATTTATGCCGAAGTTTTAAAACGGACGGGAACCTACGGTTATGTGCCGATCGTGCGATTCATGAGCAGCAAGATTGTTATATTGACTGGGACAGATTATTCAGCATGAGTAATTGACCAACTGCCGAAGTCTATGACGCGTGGTTGGCAATTGGGGCAGCCAACCTGAAGACAGATGATACAAGGGTTCGCAATTGGGCAACACCATCCAACGTACGAGGCTAGCCCGCTGCTTGCGCTGTTGCAGGGACCTCATCGACCAGCACATTATCCTTAACCTCATGACTTGGAGTTTTGAGAGCATTCTCAAAGTTCTCCTCTGCATACTGTTCGGCATCAAATTGGTGAATCCAATCCTCCCGTGGGAATCCGATACTGCTAGGATCTTCCTTGACTTTATCCCAATCCGTCTTGTGCCAAAGATCTCTGGTTGACTCTCCCGTCTTCTGAACCGCTTTCACGCGCTCATATCTAGCATCGTGTTAGCTTTGCTGAAGAACGAACAAGTAGGGAGTCATTATCTATACCTTAAATCTTGATGAGCCTTTAGCGCACCAGGAATGTTGTCTCTGCCCGCTCGCTTCAAGCAGACAGCAATGGTAACTCCATCTTCCATGGCTTGAGTTGCACCTTGAGCACTCGTCGGTAAGAATGGGTGAGCAGCATCACCAAGCAGCGCGATCCGCCCTTTGTTACTGATCCAAGTCGGCAAAGGGTCGCGATAGACCAGCTTCCAATCAACCACTGCCGGTGTCTTCTCCACAATCGCTCGACATGTTGGATCCCAATCCTTCAGGAGCTCCAACACTTCTTCTATCTTACCAGGAAATGACCACGACTCATCGATATCATGGTCGTCCTTGTGAGTAAGGACCCAACAGCAGTCTTTGCCGCCTTTCAATGTTGAGAACAGGAAGTGGACATCTTGTCCGATCCAGCCGTTGAAGGTATCGCCATTCTCGCAGAACTCTTTTGTGCGGGGGTCTTGGATCATGTCTTTGTTCGAGAACCTTAGACTTATTAGTAAACTGATTTGGGATCACTGCCAAAGACTTCAATCTTACCATGCCCTCCAAACAGCGTAACCGCTGCTCTTGGGCTTGTCAACATATCCTAGGACAAGCTCTCTTGCCTTTGACCTCACCCCATCAGCACCAATCACCACGTCGCCAGTGATCTGGAACCCGAGTCAGTAAAGGATCTGTATCGCGTGGTACATATGTAACCCACCTTCTCTCCCGTCTTCAGAATAATGCCAGCCTGTGTAGCGTCCTCGAAATATTCAGACACTCGTTGGCCGAGATGAATCGGAATCCCCAGCTCATCGCGCGCATAATTGAAGATAATCTCATGCAACTCGCCTCTGTGACCGTTCAAAACTGGAGCTTCAGGGTTGGGAGGGGGACGCTTTTGATGGTACACGACCTCCCCTGTGTCCCATTTGTGAATTCTGAAGCCGTAGTCTTGAATGTCAATGCACAAGGGACGCAGACGAGCGACTATCTCCCCGTCAGACCAGCGATTAAAGATCCTACCGGCATTGCCACCAAATGATATAATGTCTCCGAGAACTTTGAGTTCAGGAAAGGACTCATAAATCTCAACGTCGTGCCCTTGCCGATGGCATTCAATAGCGGCAGTCAACCCGCCAAAGCCAGCTCCAACGATGATAACATTGATGCCGGATTTGTGAGCCGCCATGATTTGATGAGAATGAACAGTTAGTACTGGCACTCTCAGAATGTTTCACTCGGGACTTGATGCAACATGTCACTTATGTGATCACCGTGGGGAGCGGAAACCATCACCCTGGGAAGCCGAGGTAGCTGTCCCCGTCTTGTCCCCCGCCTTGTTGATCTGCAACTAAGATCCTTCTGCAGCCAAGAGTTGGTAGGTCATGCTAGTGTAACATACTCGCTAACAAACTTACGGAACTGGGTAATAGTCCTGGATCTAGCATCAGTTTGCTTCACTTGCTGCTGATCAATCCCTGTCTGGAGTAAGCATTGTCTTTTGCAAGACATACTCCATCCTCAATGTGGAACAGCCAAATCCGATAACCAAATCACAGGGCGGTATTTACCCAATACCGAGAGCAAGCTGTTATCGCGTTTTTACTAAGATATCATGCAACGTGCTCAACCTCCGTCGGATATCTACACGCTAGCAGCCAGGTTTGCGGTCCTATTGGTAGAGAAATATGCAAAGCAACACACGTCCTGCGGGCTGCGGATAAGTTTCAAAGCGTGACTGAAATGTCATCGCTTTGTCAGGCAATGTCGTGGCAATGAGTACCCATCTGGATGATGAGGGGGAAAATGTTACCCTGGTCCCGGCATTTGCCTCGGGAATTAGCAGCACAGCCAGTTGCGATGTTCAGAGTCTCTCAACTTTAGCTGAAAACTCATGCAAGACGAGACTAAAACTTCAGCATGACTCTCAGATTGCGGGGAAATACTTGGCAATTCCATTGGGCTTCACATTTTGTTGGTTAAAGTTGATGCAAGGGCAGTTCTAGTCCATAACTTTGAAGCTTTAGGTTTAGTATGCCAACCCCTCCCATCGGATCCATACCGCCGAAGTCAACATGCGAGGGCAACACTCCGGAAGAAACACCCCGATAACCCAAAGAGACAACACCCATTCCGCACTTTCAGGCTGACGACCAGGTGCAACTCTGACTTGATCTGCAACTCTAAGTGGAACCTATTATGCACCCCGCACTTCGGTTGAGCGCCAACCCTCATCGATATAGCTAGTGATAAGAGGTTTCGATGTTTTTGTGTCTGATGAGCGATTGTGAGGCGATTGGCCAAGTCTCTCCAGTCGAGCTCCAGTATGAAAGGAAAGGGTAGCCGCAGAAACGTCCAACGCGGTTGACTGCTTGATCCATCTGATTATCTTCACTTCATCTGGCTCTTCATCATGGCAGACCAATCGCAGGATACCATCCGTGCCCATTGGCGATGTTTCGCAGCATGCGGAATCATTGTTCTCTCTCCTTTCCAGTATGGCCTTGACTTTGGGTTGATCGGTGGATTACAAGCCATGCCTGGCTTTCTCAAGGTTGGCACCTGAATTGCATGCTGTTTGGCAAACATCCGAGCTTTGTACTGACCATCACTTTTGATCAGATCTATGGCTACCGAGACCCAGAAGTCGCAATCGGATGGAACATCGACACCACGCGACAGCAGCTTATCTCGTCTCTGATGACGATGGGCGCCTTCATAAGCTCCAGTCTCGCGGGGTTCGTTGCCGCAAAACTTGGAAGGAAGATGTGCCTTTGGATGGCTTGCATTCTTTGCGCAGTGTCGAACATCATCATGATGACCACGACTCATATTGGGCCGTTGTACGTCGGTCGGCTTCTCATCGGGTTGGCCAACGGCTACTTCATGACCTTCTCCCAACTATACATCCAAGAGAGTAGCCCGGCAAAGTATCGCGGTTTGTTCTTGACCGTGTTTCATCTGTGCACAACCTTTGTCAGTACTCCTATCTGAGAGTATGAAGATTGTATCGATACTGACTCGTGGTTCGTAGGGTACACTTATCGGTACCATAATCGACTGGGCAACAGCGAAACGCCCCGATCGCTCTGCATATCTCATCCCGCTCGGAATGATATACATAGTTCCAACTATCATATTCGTTGGTTTGCCATTCATTCCAGAGTCACCAAGGTGGCTTGTTCTTCAAGGACGCTACGAAGATGGACTTAAGTCGCTCAAGTGGCTCAGGCCAGAGGGCGCAGATACCGAGGCGGAGCTTGCAGAGATTCGTCAAGCTATTGACAACGAGCGTGCATTGTCCAAGGGTGTCGGTATCCTCGATATGTTCAACAACCCGATCGACAGAAGGCGAACCATGATCTCCATATGTGCTGTTTGCCTCCAAGCTGCCACTGGATCAATGTTCATCATTGGTAACCATCCCCGTTGTCGCCCAAGTGATACGCAACTGACCCTTTCGCAGCTTATAAGGCCTACTTCTTCGCCATGGCTAAAGTTCAAGACCCGTTTGCAATGAGCAACGTTCTCAGCATGGCAGGTATGCTTGCTATCATCGCCAATGTTTGCATCGTTGTACGATATGGAAGACGACGAGTACTGCTCTTTTGCGGCCTTATAACCGCTGGGATCTTCCAGTTGATCATCGCAGTTGTCTATGATCACAATCCAGGTGCGATCGTCACCGGCAAAGTACTGGTTGCGCTCTCATGCTTCTACATGATGGCTTTCAATGTGAGTACTCCAAGGTCGATTCCAAGACTTTGTTACTAACCTTCTTTTCAGGGCATGATAGCTCCATATTCATGGATGGTTGCCGGCGAAATCCCATCACAGCGCCTTCGAAGCTACACCTTCGGCCTTGCAGCAGCAGCAGGATTCCTTGGGGCTTGGCTGATCACATTCACCGCTCCGTACTTCATCAACCCCGTTGCGCTGAACTGGGGGCCAAGATATGGCTACATCTGGTTCCCTTCTTGCATCGTTAGTGCTGTTTGGGTATACTTCTTCCTGCCTGAAGTTAAAGGACGAACCTTGGAAGAGATCGATGCCATGGTAAGCAAACCCGAAGTCAACCAGAGACCGAGGAAAAGTTACTCACTGCTCTGTACAGTTCAACGAAAAGCTGCCAGCCAGGAAGTTCAGAGGTTACAAAATGCAGGAAACTGGTGTCGGAGAGACTGTTGGAAAGTTAAGCGTCGAGCTCAACGTCGTTGAAACTGAGAGAGTCTAGTGTCAACCATATGGTGGGCTGGCATGTCTTCGTCGCAGTGGTTGGTGTCTCTATCACCTCCTTACCAGGTGGCATGGCCTGAAGCTTTCCTCATGTAGTTGCGAGTTAGTAAGGAAGAAAGTCAACGCTGATATCTTCAATCGTTTCCCAAGTGCGTGTGGAGTCATCGGGATGTTGAAGCCAAACTCTTTCCAATAACTCTAGTGTCTTAAACAGATGAGGAGTCTTCATCCATCTTTCGATGTCTGCCAGCTCATGCCTGATCTCATCTCGCGCAGACCCGAGAGCGTAAAGCCCAGCGGTGAACAAGGGGGAGACTAGCAGTACTCTAGGTGACAGTCCGGACTCACGAGACATTCTATGAGCGCACTGAATGATTTGAGCAACGCAGAAGCGGACTTCGATGGCGAAGGGCGGCAGAGATCTCATACTACAGTACAAGTGCAAGAGTGCCATGTAGAGAAACCCGGCGTTGCTGAGGGCGTAGTTTTGGATATCGTTCGCTGTGAGAGACGAGAGAATATCCGATGAGATGTTCATGTTCTCGGCTTTGTCGCGAGAAAGCCTCGCATGGATTTGTTGAATGAGATTACCCGTTTCTGATTCGAGTTCTGGGGTGCGTATATGCTTCCTTCCCAAGAGGGCTCCGACTTCTTTGAATAGTGCGGGAAGATCGGACATGACGCCACCGTAAATGTCGAGAAACACTCCAGAGTCACTCTGGCCGTGGACAAGAAGCTGGCCACCGAGTAGCCCGGCCGGGCTCAAGGAAGCCAGCGCTTCCGCATTATGGAACCAACTATCCAGGAACCCCGTGTTCACAGGAATTTGAGGTCTGCTCGTCACTTGGTTACCTGTTTGAGACGTCTGGAGGATAGCACGCGCACCATCGAGATGGATACGCCATAACGATGTTCCACCGTAGATCTGAGCCTGGCATAGTGTTCTCGTCGTAGCCAACGCCACGGTTTGTGACGTGGTGTCAACATCTTCCAACAATCTTCGGAGATGATTGATGCTTGCCCAATGGAGACTGTCGATAAGTCGTTGCGAGTTTCCGGGCAGCATACCGATGGCATCAAGGTGAACAGCGGCGAAAGCCATCACGGCGTAGAGTAAGCTCGGCTCTTGGAGCGACATTGGGACGAGGAATCGACAGATCTCTGCTTTGGCATAGCTGCTGGGGACTGTAAGTCTCATCGTTTCGGAGAGGTAGAATTGGAAGAGGTATTGAGCCATGGGCGGAAGAAAGGATATTTGATGTTGAGGTCGCGGCATGGTTGCATGTGGCGGTTGAAGAGGACTGGCCAGCGTATCTTGTTGGTGAACCGTTGATGATATCTCCAGAATGCAATCGCTTCTCAACATCAAGGAGGCATTGGTGGTAGTGACATTCCCATCCTGTGCATTCTGTGTGTTCTCCGGTACATGGCTTTCTGTCGAGTGCTGAAGTGTTCGTCCATGGCTGGCATTTGACTGCGTCGCTGTGGTCCTCTGCGATGTCTCGAGGCCAGGCGACTGGGCATGGGTTGTGCTGTAAACAAAGCCATTGCCTGTCGAGGTGTTGTCTGAACCAGCATAAGTCAGTGCTCCTCCGAGTCTCTTGTAAATTGAACGTACCCGTTCTTTTGATATCATGAAGACACTTTCCGAAGGTGGACTTGACGAATGATCTTCCGCCCCAATTCAGCGTGACTTCGTATTTGCAGATGCTCCCAGCCTCAACGCATCTATCGCAAGAGGGCTTACTCTCGTCACACTTTTGCCGTCGGTGGCGACATCGCACGCACCCTCCTCGAGACCTGGTTTTCCTTGGTGACGATTTCGGAGTTTCTGGAACCAAAGCGCTCATTGCTACGGTCGCGGCCGATTGAAATGAGTTGGCGATGGTTTGGCGAGTGGCTCCAGTGAACTGGGCTGTGGAAGTCCCCGCAGGGTTACGCTACACCACTAACTAACGCCAGAACAAGATTAGTTCCCCCTGACTGCGAACTCACTCACAAGTTCTCCAGATTCTACTTCAACAATCTGTGTCAACGCAACATCTACAAATGCATCATATCTCCAAGACTACAGTGAGGCCTTCTCACTTTTACTGATGAAAGAAAATCGGTATCTCATTGAACGTAAGACGCCGTCTTTCTCCATAGCCACTACGTCAAAGTTCGACAGCAGTTCCTCCGACGTTTACAGCCAGCTGGCAACCTCAATCCCATTTGATAAACTTCAGAATGCACTTCTGGTCTTTCGGTCGAGATGTAAAGATCTGGTCATCCATACCCATATCAGAAGTCATGCCATCCGCAGGGGCTGTTCTATATCGCGAATAGATGTCACGCAAAAGTGTCTTCATCTCAACTATAGCAAGACTAGACAACAGGTTAGCCGGAATCCTCAAGTACAAGCTCGGATACTCACTGTCTTCCGATGCATGCACGACCTCCATTAGAGAACGCAAAGAACAGTCTGTTTCGCTCAGCTGAGCCCTTCTCCTCCAACCATCTCTGCGGCTCAAAGCTATCTGGGCGAGGGAACACCTCTTCGTCCATTCGATGCATTGAGTATGGTTGACAACTCACAATGGTACCTCCAGGTAGCCAATGGCCATCCACAGTTGCTCCGCCTTCGGGAACGCACCTTGGTAGACTCATGGGGATCGAAGGGAAGACTCTGAGACCTTCTTTGACGACTGCTTCGAGGTACTCAAGTTGGTCGAAAGAAACATCAGGGTTGGCTCTGAACTCATCTCGCAGGCGCTCCTGGATGAAGGTATAGCCTGGCTGGGAGATCTGCCACATCAGAAAGCACAGCGCATCACCAGTGGTTTCAATCCCAGCAAGCATGTGATCCATGCATTCAGATGCGACGTCAAAAATGCCCATACCGAACTTCTCTTCCTGCATGCGACTCACCAGTGTAAAGTCAGCGACGCCGCCTTTTTTCACACCATTGAGGACAAGCTCTGTAGCTCGAGGAATACCGCGCGATTTTCCGAACAAGCCTAGCTTGCCTGCGAGGCTACCAAGGGTCGGGTGGTAATAGTTCAAGAGTCTTCCTGTTGCCATTGGATCAGTGCTGAGCCCTCTGAGGATCTCGGGAGAACTTACGAACAAGGCTGTTGTCAAATACCGCTTCATGGAGTGTTTCTTCGTCTGACGTCTGAAGAATCGAGTCACTGCCATGTGGATGGAACAGATGATGCGTAACGCAGTCGAACGCGTAGCAGTGAAGGAACATCTGCTTCACGTTAGCCAGGAAGTGCAGAAGGATTATATAGCCGTACGTAAACGTCAAGCTCCTGCTTTGGAGCATCTTGGCACCGAGTGATGAAGTTTCGTGATCTTTCTTGTATGCCGTGTAGAGAGTCTTCACGGTTGACATTGGTGTTTGCATAACGGTCAGCGATTACCCGTCGTCTCTGGCTATGCTATAAAGTGCTGGTTAGCGTTTTGCTCGTTCCAAAGTGAGTTCGAAACTTACTGGGCCTTTTGGCAGCATTGAGAACATTGTCCTTTCCTCGGTTAGATCTATATGTCACAGGGATACCGAGTTTCAACTTACCTGAGCCCGAACTGAGAGAAGAGGTTGTAGAAACTTGTCTTATCAAAGCCACTACCCTTCGACAGATAGATCTCCTTCATCGCGTCCAGTGATGAGAAGACAACCTCATTTGGGGCTAAACGGACTGCATTTCCGTACTTCTGGTGCATTTGGTGAACATATTGTGTTCTTTTCCCACGAAGCTCATGGTATCTCAGTTGCCAAGGTGTTAGAAGACCTAGACGAGGTCCTGGGAGGGAAGCCAAAGGGGAACGCAGACGGACGAGCAGAACGCCGATAAAGATGAGAGCTGCCGCTCCAGCAAGAAGGGAAGGAGACATTACCGCCATTTTTAGTTGTGATTGCGAGCAAAGGATGAAGTCTCGAGAAGGGGGTTTGTCATGTCTATATATGCATTCATTCCTGGCGTCCATCCTGTCAAGCCCCGATTTACATGGAGTGGAGCATCTTGATGTCCTGCTAAAGTCTGCCCAATCAAAGAGGCCATCAGTTTGCCCTCACGGCGCTTGCACCAAACAGGAATCTCTAAGAGATGACCGATTGGCCCCCGCAGTTAATTCACTATCATCTTGATAACTTCGCTCAGCTCATCCGATTCGAGTTTAGGGTTTCGTGTTGATAAATGGTTGTCTATCTTCTTTGGCTTCCTTTCAATTCCTTACCGATAAGCAGAAGTGGGGTCACGTATTGACCTTTCTTGCTCTGTCACTACGCTCGCTCAGTCCTTGCACAGCTTTCCCCATTATGGAACGTCAAGAAGCAACGCAGCATGTTAATATTCTCATGAGTCCGGGTAGTGAATATTATGAATACGATATGGCCTATATAAATTGTTTTTGGAGGTGGCTTAAGCAGACAGCAGTTCAATAGTCTAACTTCGTGGCTACCTACCATCTGACATTTCTTCTTGGAATCTTCAGTTTCTCATAGCCGATCCTAAGTCTTCAGCTCAATGAAACTCCTCTGTCTCATGTCTCTCTATGACGTTGAAGTGTAGGCACCCATCAAATCTAGAGAAAGCGGGTGGAAGGACAAGCCTCAAGGTTGTGTCAATCCCTCACGGACAGCGCAACGAAGGTCAGAGGAAGCCAGGATGAAAGTTGAAGGTCATTGACTCGTAAATTAGACTAAATAGATATTAAAGTATATTAGAAATTCATGTTCAAGCTTTTTATTGAATCGGAAGAATTGAGTGAATGGTTACAAGTGGTCTCCAATGGGCAACGGGAATATTATGTCCGACTATGTCTGTCAAGTTCGTATACAGAAAGAGCATCACCATCTCATTGCCGCCAAGGACTTTCGGCAATTTCTATAGTAAGCAGGGAGCTGCATGGCTTGTATGGGTTGGGCTGACGAGCGGCTCAGATCTGACATATGACCGACCAGGACACGAGGTACCATTGCTGACTTCCTCACTGCCACTGGCGCAGAGACGATTTGATTACACCATTTGGAAAGAGGATCGGCGTGCATGAAGTCACTCAGCCTCAAAAGTGTGGAATGTGACCAGAAAGACAAAACCTCGAATACGGGAAAAGTAATCCGAGGTACTGTGTTGGAAACAAGCGCTGACTATTCTTCGTTGAGGCTTGAATACTGCCTACACCGTGTTGAATGGTCCGCAGTATATACAGTCAGTCAACACGAGGGTATTGGTCCGCATTAAAACCGCAGGGATTACTTCACTAAAAATAGTGAGGAGGATACGATGACTGACGACGCCCAGAGCTACCCAAGTGTATAAAGAGAATCGCCGTGCTCAGTATTCGATCGCAATCCAATTCACCCAACAAGCTCTCATCCACTACTCCAATACACATCCCCTGATTTCTATTAACTTCTACTCTAAATCAACCGACTTCTTCGCCAACATGCACTTCACTACCGTCCTCACCACTGCGTTTGCGACCCTCGCCTCTACCGCAGCAGCTGCCCCCAAGACAGAAAACTTCGCAACAGCCAGCGTCTATGCCTTCAACCGAGACCAGAACACTCATAAGTTCGTCGACATACCTTTCGGCAAGCTCACGCACATCGACTACCAAATCACCGATCTTGAGCTCCGCGGCGTTCAGTTCCTTCTCCCCGATGGCGAGAAGATCGACCCCGACAAGGTGACCTGTCAGATGTACAAGGACAGCCTTGGCACCCAACCTGGGAGCGCTGCTTTCACTAAGAAGACTCCTGCTCATATCAGCCTCTTCAACCCTGTTCAGTTTGGATGGGTTCTGTGCTATGTCAACGTTAATAGCGCCTAAGAGTCTGGAAGCTGTTGAGACAGTAGTTAGGGGCTGATGGCTGGGGACATATACGGTGCTTTGTGAGGTCATAGTACATATCTTGGGGAGGGATCTCGGTCTTTATTTCAATCTATAGTAACCACGGAGCTAATTTACATTCATTCCCTCTCCCCTGTCCGTCTTTCCTGCTTCACAGCCGTAGCTGACTCTTCCACTGCTTTCCTCATCCCAATTTGTAGGCGCGCCTATAGGTTTCTCTCAACTCCGGTCATTCAATGCAGTGTGAACGATAGAATTGAAGTGCTCAGCGGCGTCCGGGAGCAGCCGTGGCATCGAGGCCACTTCGCCAACCAGCATTCTGTACGAGATGATTGCGTAGTTGAAAACCTTGATGGAGAGCTGTCGAGATACTATACCGTACATATGGGCCAGATTAAGGAACAAGTAAACGACATAGTTGGTCGAAATGCCCCATTTCTTCACTTCGAATCGATAGTCGTCAGGCTTTTGGCCAGGAACAAACGCTACAATGATGAAGCCCAGTGACTCGAGTGACTTCACGCTCATCTTGACAAAATCAGCGGGCATTACCGACTCCGTATAGCGATCCCCCATCGCAAAGCAAATTTCTGCTAGCTCTAGTTGAACTTTGTTAGCGGACTTTCCCTTGTAGGTGTTCTCCAGTTGTTTCAGAAGTGTTCTGGCTTTGGCAAAGTTGAATTGAAGCACTTCAGTCTTCAGAAGCTCTAAAGCCTCGTTATAGATCTTGCGTCGCTTTTCCAGGGTCGCCTTGTTCTCCTTGCTTCTGGTCTTGCATATATCGCACGCACACTTGAAGCCCCAAGTTGAGAGGCGCTTCTGTACTTCCTCGTAGGACTCGAAGGTGATGGGAGCGCGATAGGAGAGAAGCAGCTCCGTCCCGGCGGACATGTCTTGCGTAGCTCGGATGATTTGCATGTCGCCAATAAAGGAACGCCGACAGTTGCTGACACAGCTGTGGTTGATTCGGGAAGCGAGGAGCCAGATCCCAGAAGTCGAGTACGTGGAATCCATGTTGTCGATCTCTAGGTTGGTCTCTTTCTTGCAAAAAACTCTGGTTTCGAAGTCATTGCTTGTAGTCTTCGGGGTGTTCACTGCGTTGTAGTGAATGATTCTTTCTACCATCAAACTACAACCACGTTAGCAGGGGTGCCGACAACATGTAGCGGTGGAGATAAACTTACCCGTCAACAACAGGACATTCGTCACATTTGGTGACCTTGAGCTTCTTGTGGTCGCAGTGGAAGAGTTCTTGGATGGCGTCAATGTGTTCTGGGTTGTGATACAACTTCTCGGTAACTTGTGCCCACAAGAGAACAGCGCCACCACCTTTCGCTTTATCACGGGGCACGTTCGCTAAGACGGGAAAGGACTTATGACTGGTTTTATCCATGAAACAGTATGAGAACGCCTTTTCGCAGAGTATCAAGTCCCCAGCAGATACGTCTTTGGTGAGGAAGAGCCCCTTGCCTCGGCCAGGGGCGTCGCGGGTCTCGACAAGAGAGGAGAAGGTGGCGCAGTCAACTAGTGGAGGTCTCTCTTGAGCTTCAACAAGCATGTCTTCAAATGCATACTCGCCATCATCTTGCTCCTTGATTCTTTTAGAGACGGTTGACTTCAGGCTCAAACCAAGCACGCTCTTGGGAAACAACACTGTGAGAACCCGAAGCTTCTGCAGGCACTCCTCGAAATCTCCAAGGGTGTAGTATGCGCGAGCTTGAAGAAGTAAGGACTCCTCGGTACAATTTGTAGGGTGATCTCCGTCGATAGCGTCTCGAAATGCCTGATAAGGGCGATCGAGTTGGAGGTTGACTTCAGAACGGCCGAGATTTGCTTGCCGCTTATCATCTGGTGACACTGCTGTATCAATAGCCAAGTTGTAACTTGATTGTGTTAGAAGAAAGGGCATAGACATAAAGGTCAGGCAGATACTGACGAGTGTAGTGCGGGCAGCCAGTGCTCCTTGTTGGCGAGCTCTTCTCCCTCTGCCCGATATTCTGCGCTGCTCTTGATCTCGCTGTGGACTCTCCACTGCTCGGGGATTCTCTCGTCGTGGCCTTCCAACCAGATGATGTCGCTTGGGTGGTAGACTTGCAGGGAGTAAGAATCTTCGGCTATTTGCTCGAAAAAGGGATCTTTAAGGATGGCTACGGAGCCTTGAGCAGGATGTCTGATGGTCAACAAGTCAACATGGAGCAGTTGGTAAAGCGATAGTAGGACTACCGTCCCTTCTTGATCTTCCACCATGGTCATGATAGCTGCACCCCGAGTGGGTGCGGTCTTCGCCCGAAGCAAGACCTTTTTACCGCGGTGATGAGTCTGAAGTCTCATGTCAGAGATGGGCATTAGTTCAAGGTCCTTCTCGGGGATTAGGCATGGCTCGAAGGGATCTGGGACCAGAGTGACGTAGGCGGGTTTCTCCTCCTGTGTGCCTTTGTTTTTCGTAGACTCCCGTCGGAATGCCTCAGCAAGAGCTTCGGGATCTGGGTGGTCAGTTACAAGTTGACCTTTGCCCAATGCTGCTTTGATCATGTCAGGTTTCAATTCCTTCAGGAGAGCGGTATAGCTGTCTTCCGACCCTAACTCCATGTCTATCTTGCTGGCGGTGTTGGTAGTGGTCATGGCGGCGGATTAAATTGATTTGGTTGAGTTTTGGGCGCAGGTGATGCAGATTTTGGGTTACCAAGATGTCAGTTAAAGAAGGACGTAGGACAGGCTGGCAAGTGGGTCAACGTCGAGTTTGCTTGTGAGCTGGTTTCTTAGAATTCTCAGGTTTCCCATGGAACTACAGTCCAAGGTCTAGTTTGCTTGCCCTTTGCAGCTGTTTGCAGCTGCCTGCCCATTGAGTGGCCTTCAAAGCTGGATCATAATGGCACGCTACGTGAACTACTCCAGTCTGGCAATCAGAACATCGAGGCCATAGTTTGTAAGTCTAAGTGAAACAGTGGCTAAAATGTAGATGCTATACTAAGAGAAAGGGCAACAGAATATATAGACTTTCTCATCATTGAAGACAGATGATGAGTGATTTTAGTAAATTACCAGATAATGGCTGATGCTAGATTGCCCCTATGTTTCCATAAAAGCAACACTAATATCACAAGTCCTCCTCTTTACTACCTCAAAGGAAGATTGCTAAACAAAGTCCAGCTATTCGATGTACTAGGGCAGTAGCAGACTCTGGTAAAAAGCACTTAACTCAAGTCAGGATCCGTCGATGATACCTATCGAAGGATCTTCGGCAGTGCATACCTCTCAAGACACAAACGTTTTCAAGCCACATCAAACGGATGTTGGAATTGCCGAGTGACTGCGCCTTGCCAGGGGGGTCATACTCTTGGGCAAAGGCAGTGCGTCAATCTAGTCCATAGGGCTGAGGACCACGTCGTCATGCAGGTTGTCCGATTCATTATGATCCTTGCGATATCCTCCCGAACCTATTTTTACCAAAACCTCGGACCTGAGTTTTTTTTTATCATTTTCTAATCCTTGCAGATTGCTCTTTCTGTGCCAGAGAGCCAACCATTCTCGCACCCAAATATGAGTTTAGCTGGTCTGAATGGTCTGCTTTCCAGCGAGTGGACACCATCCCAACTCAAAGCAGGAATAACCCTGATCTGGCAAGGCAGAATCGCTCAACCAAAGACCCTTTAGGTCTGTGTTAGGCTAGCCTTTCAAGTAAGGGATAGTGAACAACCAAGACACCAGAGTAATAGCGTTAAAACCGTCAGTCTGGACCGGTCTCGTGGCTTGGATAAATAAGGTTAAAAAATAGCTTCGCTTAAACAGAAACTGGCGACAAATCAACAACTCTGTCATCGTGATCACAAGTGTCTAATTCCGTAAGGTGGAATTAGTAGTTGTGGCGGCGCGTTAGACTGCCAGGGCTGAATGTCACTAATCAAAGTTGGTGTTGGAGCTGAAAATGCATCATGCGCTACTAGGCCAGGGGTCGTCAATCTTAACTGTTTATTTCCCACCGAAATTCCGATCATGGTTCGCCTGTTCTTCTGAGATCAGCAAGACTTTCAATTGCAATCAACGATGCGTCGCTATCACTCCCTCCCATTCCTTGCATCGGCACTTTTGCCCAGAGTCCTTGCTGGGCCTGGTCAAAGTCTCGACGCCATCTGCAAATCCACCGAAGGAACCTACGGCTGTGACGAGTACTTCCAGATCCCATACGGCTCAGAGCCTGTCACAACATGCTTCGACACTAGCCCCTGTGGCGTTCAAATCTTAACCAACAACCGAAACATCTGCGACCTTATCGACGATGCCATGGGCGATGATGGCTTCGTCGGCGGCTACACAGCATACTGTAGAGAGGCGCCCCGAGCTATCAAGGAAGTCAAGACAGAACGCGCTGTGTGGGTGGACGGTAAACTCAAGGGCGCCAAATGGATTGCCCTGGCTACTGCGAACAGCGCTGAAGAGGTTGGTCTTCCTCCATCGTCATCTCATCTGATGCATGCTAAAGCCACAAACAGGAATTCGCCAATCGCGGCTTCAAGTATGGGAGCACCAGGAGCACTGTTCTTTCTAACCAACTTGCCAACAAAGATGGATGGGTAGTACAGAAGGCAGCAGAAGTACGTCGTCCTTTACCCCTCACCTGAGCTTGAGCGAGTAACTGACGAGGCTATAGATCAACACCAAGAGTTACTTCGATCTTGTCGAGCGCCTCAGTAAATGCGATCCTGGTGGATGCTCCGGAGACAAACTCGATTCCGTCTTGGAATGGTTTCGTGAGTGGATTCCAAAGGGCACTGAGGTCAAGAACGGCCAGATGTCAAGGATGCTCGCCGAGTGGGAAAAGACCTTTGCTACACCTTACAAGAACCGAATCATGGCCATCAAGAATGCTGCAACCACTGTCCAAACGCGCGTCAAGACTGTTCAAACCAAGGTCGACTCGATCAAGAAGAGTATCTGTCAGAAGAACGCCTGCTCCGGCAAGACCGCTTCTACATACCTCA